TAATCTCCCTTCTCTCCATGTGCCAGGCTCATCCACCTCCTCACTCCCTCTACTTCTCCTTGTCTCCTCCCAAACCCGGGGCCAACTTTGCTCATTTCCTCTCTACCAAGCTCTCAAGACTGCTCCGAGCTTGCCTTGCACAGGAGAGTGAATTGGGCTGAAAACATGGTTAATGGTGAACAGCAGGTCCAAGGCTTTTACCAGGAGCTCCAGCCCCACAACCTTTATTTTATGAGCACCCTAGAAGTAACCAGAAAAGAATTTAAAAAGTGAACTTAGTAAAAATGCAATGATAATTGAATAAGAGAATCTTTACATCATACAATAATTTTTAAAATACTAGAATAAATTAGGAAGCGAAATAGTATTAGAATAATTCCGTTGGGAAAGTGAAAGTTCCGCGCGGGGAAGCAAGTGGCCGACTCAGTATGAGTGATAAAGCAAGCTCCAACTTTATTGTCCGACAGGCTCTTTCTTATACAGTGCATGACAAGCATATAACTATCAATCATTTATAATTGGCCAAGCTCTAAAGATAGCATTCAGGTACTCTCCCTACATGCGGTTACAGCTGTGAGGATTATCTCTTACTTTTTCAGGCTTGGCTGCATTCCTGGCTGTTTGTCTCAAACTTGTTTGTCTCACCCTCAAGGACAACTTGCCCCTGTCATCTGCCCAGTTAAGTTGCCTTCTGCCAAGCTGAGTTACTCCCTATCTATATGGAAGTTACAATCTCCAGAGCCTTGGTTGCACCTGCATTCCCAGGTGCGTTCCCAGGGGACTGTGTCCTTGCTCTTTTTAGCCTTCCCCAGGTGCATTCCCAGGCTTATGTCCCTGCTCTCTTAGCCATTCTCCAACATAATTCAAATTAGAATAAAATAAGAATAAAACATCTTTATTATCATTAATTATATTTGTTTAACCCCTGAGCGCGGCAGCACCACAGCCTAAGTGTAGAACCATCAGGCCGTAGAACCCTCACATTTTGGGCAACCTGTGACCTTCCCCATGGCTTTTGACCCTTTGGGTCAGAACCTAGAACACCAGAACACAGCCCCCCTCAGTACCTAAACCTCTCAAGTCTAGAACCATTAGTACCTAGAACCCTCAATTCTAGAACCCCAGAACATGCAAATCTAGAATCCAGACCCCTCACATCTAGAAACAGTGGTACCTAGAGCCATCAGCTCTACAGCCCTCAGAATCTGGAACTCCAGAACCTGGACCCCCAGCGGTACCTGGAACCCTAACCACAGAACATTGTCCCTCAATGGAGAAAAGGAGGCTCAGGGGAGACCTTGTCCTCTACAACTCCCTGACAGGAGGTTGGAGTCAGGTGGGGGTTGGTCTCTTCTCCCAGGCAACCAGCAGGAAGACAAGAGGCCACAGACTCAAGCTCTGCCAGGGGAGGTTAAGGCTGGATATTAGGAAGAGATTTTTTACAGAGAGAGTGCTCAGGCATTGGAATGTGCTGCCCAGGGAGGTGGTGGATTCACCATCCCTGGAGGTTTTCAAGGTGAGACTGGATGTGGCACTTAGTGCCATGGTCTACTAACCACGGTAGGGTTGGACTTGATGATCTTTGAGGTCTCTTCCAACCCGGTTGATTCTGTGATTCTATGAATGCCTAGAACCCCAGGCAGCGGGGGCCGCGCTGAGCTCGGGGCTGCGGTACCGGGCAGTGACCACGGGGCGGCAGCACCGAGTTCTGTTTTTTTTTTGGTCACCTGCAGTTCCGACTTCCACCAGGAGGTGGCGCAGCTGAGACTTGGTGTCCAACACCGAGAGACTCGTTGGGATAGAGTTGGTTTCATTGCCTTCACAGAGATTATCTTTCCTTACATTTTCAAGCCTTTTGTTGTTTAATTAATCTGTATAAATGCTACCTTTGTATTTACAAACCCTGGATATCCCTATCCAATATTTCAGAGAATCATAGAATGTCATCAGTTGGAAGGGACCCACAGGGATCATTGAGTCTAACTCCTGGCCCTGCACAGGACATGGCAAGAATCACATCATGTGCCTGAGAGTGTTGTCCAAACACTCCTTGAACTGAGCAGGGAGCACTTCTCTCCTTCATAGCTCCTCTGGGTTTGCATTAGCGCATGTTCACCTTCATTCTACACAACAAAAAGTCATAAGTTGGGGAAAAAAAACCCCACAACAACCTGCAATCTGTACCCTTCCCAAGCACAAATTGAACTTACCTGGGTTGGAAAGAGCTGTGGAAGGGTGAAGGAAGGTCTGGTGGCTTCAGGGCTGTTCTGGTACTGGGACTGATGTCTGAGGAAGATGCAGGAAGGCTCATCCCAACTTGTGGTGGGTTTGTTTTGAAGACAGGTGGGTGGGACAGCATGTGCTGTACAATGTGCATCTCTCCAAAGACACTCAGGCCAGGGAGGTCCAAAAAAACCCCATTTTCCCTCCCTCAGTCGTCAAGGCTTATAATAAAAATAAAAAT